CTTACCATTTCTTGTGTAGGAGTGAGGCCTGTAGAGTTTTTCCTGTCCAGTTTGGCATGCCCACTGGTGTCACCCTTGTTCTGCTTGCATTTGGACAGTCATGGTGGGGCTTTATGGATGTAGCTTCTGATGTTACTAGGAGACACAGTCTTCCAACAAACTAGTTAATATTCTGGTTCATTCTTTTTAAAATTTTTATGTGCATTGTGCTTTGCCTGCACATATCTGTGAGGGTGTCAATCTCCTGGAACTGGAGTTCAAGACAGTTGTGAGCTGCCATGTGGGTGCTGGGAATTGAACCTAGGTTCTCTGGAAGAGCAGCCAGTGCTTTTAACAGCTGAGCATCTCTCCAGCCTGATCTTCTGCCCCCTCTTCTGCAATGTTCCCTGATCTTTAGGTACAGGAATGTTTTGTAGATGTATCCTATGGGATTGGGCTCCACAACTCTGCATTTTGATTGGTTGTGGTTTTCTATAGAGGTCCTCCATTTTTTACAAAGATAAGTTTCCTTGATGGGGGTGGAAGATAACACTTCTTTTTGGTTAGAAATACAAATATTTAGACTTTAGTTAAGGATTATGATGGTTTAATAAAGTGGTGATTGTAGGTGGTTCTCTTCTAAGCTTTGACTGCCCTCTTCCTGGGAAGTCAGCTAGGTTTCCAGGCATGACTTTTTTCTTGTTGAGTGGGTATTAAGTAAATTAGAGAGCTGTTGGTTACTGCCAAGGTTTGTGAGCTGCTACTGCATCCTTGGAGTTATCATGGCGTACTGGTTGTTGCTGTGATTCATAGGCATCATAGCTGGGTAGGACTGTTGGTTGTGCCCCTTCTTTGGAAGCCTGCATGGTCCTTCTGGTGTCATGAATGCCATTCCTCAGGGCGGCGTCTTTCAGTTCAGTCCCAGCTCAGAAGCCCTGGGCTATGTTTCTAGAGTGCAAGGTGTCTTCAGCAATAGGGACCACTTACCTTCCACATCTGGTCCCCTCCTTTGTTATAAAAAAGAACTAGTCATTTTTTCTTTAGTAGTTATTTTCACATTTTATATTTTGCTTATTGTAGCCTACCTGATACTATTAATTTTCTTCTGTGCTCTTAGTTCTGGAGGCTGGCTGGTCAGAGTTATTTTTTTAGCGGGTGGGGAGAGGAGGGTTATAGCCTTGACTACTTCTACCAGAAGTTAAATATTTCTCGCTATCACATCTTAGTCTTATCAGCATCTATTGATTGACTTTATCTGGTGTACTTTCCTTGTCATAGAAATAAAACACATTGTTTTTGGCTCATGATTTGAAGGTATAGTCAGTCCATCATGGAGTGGAAGGCAAGATGGCAGCAGCCTATGTAGCTAGCTAGCTGGTCACATAGCATCTGCAGTCAGGAAGCAGAAAGAACCCAAAGCTGGTGCTCAGCTCGCCTTCTCCTTTCTATTCAGTCCAGGACCGCAGCCCACGGGATGGCTCTACCCACATTCAGGGTGGGTGTGTCTTCTGGAAACAGATATATCCAAAAGTCTGTGTCCTAAGTGATTCCAGATAGCATCAAGTTAAGATTAACCATCCAACCTAGGTCATTATTTCACTAGAGGTCATAATAATTGTGATAATTCTGTCTTTGGGCCCAGAAAATTCTAAAGAGAAACTCCTCGAGTCAACTATATTTTCTTTCTTTGGGAAACAATTTATACATTAAAGCCATTTAGGAGTAAAGACCTGGTTCTTTTTCTTTCTCATTTAAAATTTAAAATTGGAAGTTCGCACACAAAATGATGGGTTTCATTGTGGCATTTTCATGTCTATGCCATTATACTTTGTTCTTATTGTTCATTCCTCCTCATTGCCCACCTTTACTTCTCCCTCCCCTCCCCCAAATCATCCCCTTTTCTGTTTTCTTGTGATAGATTCTCCATTATCGGTTTTGCATCACTTGACCTCACTTTATCTTCCTTTCTTCTCATAGTCCTCTAGTTTCATATTCCACACCTTCTGCACACAGAAACCCCCTAACACACACACACACACACACACACACACACACACACACACTGTTCAGAGTCTGCATATGAAAATAATAAGCCAGTATTTGCCTTTCTGAATCTAGCTTACCTCACTTAATGTGGTGATCTCTGGTTCTATCCATGTCCTCCCACACAAGTCTTTAATATTTAACATTTAAAAATAGTAAGTTGGCTCCCTAGCATTCTCCAGTGGTGACCAGTGAACTGTTTAGTTTTGTTGCATCTTATAAAGCCATGCATTGAGACACATTTTTGATATATTTCAGTTCCTAAAATTACTATGCAAGTTGATTTTCAAGATGGCTGTATTAATTTTGTGCTTCTATCAACAGTGTGGAAGATTTTCTGAAGTGTACTCAGTGTTCTCTGACTTTCAATGATCTTACTGTTGTTTTTAGTTATTTTTAACAGTTTAACTGTTACTGGTTTTTCTTGCTTCGGGTAAGTCTAGCTTATGGTATATATATTTACTGTCTCCCATGGAATTCATTATGATGTGGTTCAGTCTGTATTCAGTATTTAGTGACCGTATATAATTGCTACATACAGTTGAGTTAGGTATTTCATATTTATCTTTTCATTCCTGGACTCCTCTTTGTTTTTCCTGGGATCAGTAAGCATCTTGACTGACTATTTAATGAATTTATAATCCTCCTTCTAGTAATCCTACATATCAAACAATCTACCTTTAAAAAATTGGGAAGGATTGGGGGAAGGACAGAGAGGGAGAGCAAGGAAAGAGATGCTTTGATAGAGGGAGCCATTATGGGGTTAGCAAGAAAACTGGCACTAGGGAAATTCCCAGGAATCCACAGGATGACCCTGACTAAGAATCTAAGCATAGTGCCCTTCCCCAATAATGAGATTGATAACTACTTTAAATGCCATCCTAGAGCCTTCATCTAGTAGCTGATGGGAGCAGATGCAGAGATCCACAGCTAAACACTGGGCCAAACTCCTGTTGTTCAGTTGTAGAGAAGGAGGAGCGATTAGGGAGTCAATGTTGGGGAAACCCACAGAAACAGCTCACCTGAGCAAGTGGGACCTCACTGACTCCAGATTGACAGCTGGGGAGCCTGCATAAGACTGAACTAGGCCCCCTGAATGAAGGTGACAGTTGAGGGGTTTGGGCAATCTATGGGGCCGCTGTCTGTAGAACCAGTAATGATGAAATGTTTGGGAACTGGACATTAGTGATGGATGCATTTTTTTTAGTTGAACTTACTAAAACATTTTAAAGGATGTATACTTTAAAGAATAATTGCCACCGTATGTGATTATTTCAGTAAACAAGATTAAGCCAGGTCAGTGTTGTTGGTAGTGAACCTGAAGTAAAACATGAATATGTCTTGTATATTAATAACACTAATTCATGAGTGAGGCTTTTGCTTTCCCCAGGGGCATAAGTGAAGATGTATGTATGTATGTATGTATGTATGTATGTATGTATATGTATATGTATATATATACACACACACATACACATATATATGTATATATATACATTAATTTATATATAAACCTAGGTGATCTCTATGGATCATATTTGTGGAGGCAAAACAATCCTTATTTACAACACATTTTCTGAAACCATTGTTTCTTAGGCATTCATTCAGATGGTGAAAGAAAACATTTTAGAAGTTAAATGCTTCTTCCACCACTGTTGACACTGAGTACTAGTTGTCTGTCACTTGTTCCTATGGTTGACATTTTAATAACAGCATTATTTTAAAACATTTAAAAATTCATAAAACATTCAGAAGTTAAATCCACATGCTCCTTTCTTGAGTTGTCCTTACCTTAATCCCAGAGCCAGTAGGCCCGCAAAGATGATGTCTTGCTTTTCCAACACTACCTAAAAATGTCTTTAAGTATTTACAAATAGAAAACTATGACTTCAGCCTAGAGGTTATTGCTAAAGTATATCCGAAAGCTGGCAGTGGCAGTGTCACCCAGGAAAGCTGAGGAAATGTCTGTCTTACTCAGAGACTGCTGCTGGGTGTGCTGGTGCAGGTCTGTAATCTCTCAACTCCATAGGAGTTACAGGCCAGCCTGAGCCATAGAGCAAGATTCTGTCAAAAAAGACAGATGGGCAAGAAAGAAGGGAAAGAAAGGAAGAAGAAAAGGCAGGGGAAGGAAGGGAAAAAGATTAGTAGGTTCTGTCGATGACTTGTGCAGGCTAATGCCTCAGAATTGCTGATGCAAGGAAAGTGCAAACAGGAAGTACTGATGTCAATAGATAGTGGTAATTATTTGGATATTGAACATGCAGCAAGTTAAGTATAACATTGCTTCTTCCACCACTGGTGACACTGAGTACTAGTTGTCTGTCACTTGTTCCTATGGTTGACATTTTAATAACAGCATTATTTTAAAACATTTAAAAATTCATAAGAGGATAATCAATCTTCCTGTCTCTTTAGTAGAGTTTAAGGTGGACCCTAATTCCCGAGGGTAGGTGATTGACATGGCCAACTAAATTAACTCAGGAGACCTGGCATCTCTCCACTCTCCACCTAGATATAATGCACTTTTCTAGAATTCCCTGCTATGCTGTCAATTCTTGGCTGCCATGATCTTCTGATGGGTCTGCCCACCTGTTGGAAAGGTGTGACTTTTCCCTTTTTGTCTTTTCTGTCTCACTCTTTCAGATGCTAGCTAGAGCCCAAGTGTGCTTTTTTTTGGTACGTTGGTCTCTCTCTTGAATTTCTTCTCCCTACCATGTGCTGCTGCTTGTCTGCCCTCCATACCCACTCAGCTGAAATGCCATCACCCCTTCTCTCTTCTGTCCTTCTCTGGGCAGCTGGTGGGATTTACAACTTGCTGCCATGGAGTTTTTCTTCAAAATCTAATAAAAGCATCTTCAAGCTTCAGACAAAACAAAAACAAACAAAAAGCTTTCAGTTTAAAAGGATATAGAAGGCACCTCAGAACAAAACAGCAGCAAAAACCCCATACATGATTTCCAAAATTGAGGCTATGGAACTCAGATGGAATGCAATTATTTATTGTCATCTCCAGAATAATTTCAGTCGGTCCAGCTACTCCTTAATCCTTATCAGTATCAGGCTCAGAATTCAATCACAACCAAGCAGTTCACAAGAACACGTTGAGCAACAAAACATGCGTAATATTTCTCCAAGACAGCACCTCCAAACACAGGTACAGCATTACTGGGTGTCACAGAAGACTGTCAGTGTCTCTTGGCACACACCACAGAGTGGAGACCACACCAGAGAGCCATCTTCCTCTTTAAATCAGAAAGGATGCTGTCAGACATTCTGTTGGCAAGTAAAACTACACAGGCTTTCAGGACAGAACAAGCTACTTGGACTTCTTATACTACACACTTCAATGATGGGTAGCTAGAGACTTTAAAAAAGTATATTACAGCTTTAAAAATACCCATTAGTGGGGACAAAGGTTGAAAATATTTACCAGCAATATTAGGTACTCCTGAATCACAGTTTCCTGGATAAATAAATGTAATATTATGTTTCTGATTTTTTTCATTATTATATATAGTTTGGAAAATATATTTTAGGTTAATTTTTACATCTTAAATAACAATCTTTTTCCTTTGATAGTGCTAAACTCTTAAAAATTTATATCTGTTTTATAGATATTAGTTTCACTCTTTTCAATACTTTGGCCTGACTTCTTTATGGATAAAAACATAACATTGACAATATTAGCTGGTTATACTGGCAGGAGAGGGCGGATCATAATTTTCTTATACCTTGTATTAACAATAAACCTTCTCACAGAGAAGAACATAAATACCTTAAATTACATTTCCAACAATAAAAATTCACATTTCATGCTTTAGAGAGACACTTAAATCAGCTGTAAGATAGTCCTCAGAGTTTGGGGTAGAGCCCTTCCAGTATCCGGACCTCTGGTATGTGCCAAAATCGAAGGTCTGAAGTTACGGAAATAACAGCTTCTGCCATCTTCCTATTCAGTAGGCAAGCTGCAGCTGCAACGCTGAGTCACATCAGAGTGGCTGCCAGTGTGCTTCAGACCTGGGCACTCAAGGGACTCATCTGCCGCACTGGAGAGCATTCATGCTCCAATGCTCTCTACTAGGAGTCACAAAAGACAACCCTTCTGAGTACAGCTAAACACGTGTATGTCTATTGCACAGGATTTCATCAAGTTCCCAAGACAGTGCTCCTCCGACCCCTTTAGCTACTATATACATTTTTCAGATAAGTTCAGCGTTTCACTGGGGAACGTGACCTGCAGAGAGTTTCCTTTAGAGGCAGGCTCCTCCCTGCCGCTCCCACCGACCTCATCCACCAACAGGACACTCTCTGAGTCCTGGCCCTGGGAGGAGTCCGAGGTCTCTGATATTCGCAAAGTTCTTGTCGAGGTGGTATCTGCTTGGGTCAGGCCCATGCCATGCACACCCGGAAGCAAATTCCTGCCTCCGAGGCTGCTTTCACTTAGGTCTGGCAGGTACAGGAGAGTCTGAGATGTGCTGCTGATCTCCCTCAGCTCCCGAGAGAGGAAGGAGCGAGAGTGGCTCGACATGGCAGAAGATGTCCTCCGACTCTCTGAGCAGTGCTGTGCCGACCCATCTCTGCCAGACCCACCTATGCGGCAGAAGAGGCACTTGATCTTCTCTATGGCTTTACTGAGTACAGTCTTCCGCAGAAGGATATAGATCCACGGGTCCAGAATGGGGTTCACGGAGGCAATTCTGATGGCCTGCAAATCGGGGTTTCTGCTGATGTCTTTCACCACACTTGGCTGATATAACTGGTTGATGAACACTCGCACCTGCACAAACGAGAGGCCCACGCTGAAATTTTAATAATTAAGCCATTTGGCAAAAACACTTTTAAGTGCTGCATTTACCTTTGCAGCGTGACGTGATGTAGCTGCTCTTATGTGGTAATGCCTACTTTGCAACGGCAGCTTACATAAGTCGGTTACTATATTTTAAAAGACACTCATTTTGTAAGTCAATTAAGCTTGTAATTACAAAATACAGAGGCGCCTATGCCTTTACATTTAGAGGAAATACTTTGAACTTTTGAACCAACATCACTGTCTTCTGTTAGCTAGAATGACCAGAGCATAGATTTCTTTCCTGGCACTCTCCACTCTCCATAATAATTATCTTGTGTTACTGTTTTTCTTGAACCCTGGCATTTTTCTTAATCCATTTCCTCAACAGCATTTCTCATGGGAGGTACCATTGCAGCAGCCACCCAAATAGCATTTCCATTTGCAATCCCTCCTCCAAACTGCCCCAGAAAATTATCTCTGAAGTGCATGTACTATCTGCAGTTTAGCTGCTAAAAAGCACCCCCCCCCCCCCCCCCCCCCCCCCCCCCCCCCCCCCCCTCCCTCCACCTGCACATTTTCAAGACTGTGTTCAACTGAATTCAGCGACTATTGCACAACTCTAATGAGAAGCAACCCCTCCTCTGTGCTTCTAAAGCCTGAAGAACAACCACACACACACACAAAGTATCCCGGTTTCTTCCTTCCAGATACTTTCTTTCCCAAAGTTCTTAGTGGCCCATGGTAGCTGAGCGAGTTCCTCCAGTTTTCTCAGCTGATGTGTGTTTGTTGCCTGGACCTGGAAGGCTGTGTGTGTGTGTGTGTGTGTGTGTGTGTGTGTGTGTGTGTGAGAGAGAGAGAGAGAGAGAGAGAGAGAGAGAGAGGAGAGGTTTATTCTTTACCAGTATGGCCATCCTTCTTGCCTCAACTTCCCAAGTGCCAGGATAAACAGGTATAAACTAGAGACCTGAAAGTGTTGAGGAACTTTTGAAGCTTTCTCCTATCCTATTGATGATCAGGTCTAGTTTCCAGATGAATTTCACATGGCTTTTATTGTTCTACAAGGATGGATTTTTGTCTAAAATTTATTTTTAGTAATGAGGTCATCACTAGAAAATATTACTGTCTATTTTACTCACATTGCACAAGAACCTGCTCAGTGGCAAGCGTCAGGGCAGGGTTTGTGTGAACCTAACACTTCAAGCCTCTAGAGGGCAGTGTTGCTCTACTCTGGAGTGCCTAGTACCTCCATCCCTTGGGATGCCTTTTGCACAGGTATTTTCCAAGAAGCTTTCAGATTAGAGTCTTGGTTAAGTTTGGACTCTGAATTATATATACATATTTCTCTGCTGGCTGGTTCTCCGCCACAACCTCAAAGGAAACACAGTTACCCCTGAAAAGAGGAAAGTTCTGAACAGTTAAGGCAAAATAAGCTGTAGCTCCTTAAAGCAATTCACATTTTGTTTTCAAATTTCTGTGATACTTTAAAAATTCAATGCTATGAAAAATTAATGACATATTTTTACAATCAAAACTAACAAGGAGCAAGGAAGAAATCACCTTTGTATTTCATTTTATCTGCAGCCATAATTAAATTTGACTACTACAGAAAGGAATGAAGGAAGCTGTGATTTTTTTTTAAGTTCTATTTTAGAGTTCCATGGGTGCTTACAATTGTCACAAGCCCCTGGATCTCATCATCTCGTGTCTTTTAGTAAAGAAGTGTTCATGGGGTAGCATATGGATGAGTATAAAACACAACATCCTGGATTACAGCACAGGGACAGAGCACTTGCCTGGCATGCATAAAGCCTAGGGCTTAATCCCCTAACTTCACAACAAATTCAATAACACACCCCAATTCTAAATTCATATAGAAATTATCAGAGGTCAATCAAATTATTTTCAGATAATCCAAATGGATTCTTTGCCTCCTATTCTCAGTTTAGTTTCAAGTAGAGTAAGGAAAAAGAAACAAAACCCAAAACTTGAGGCATTTTATAGAGTTTGAAAAAAAAAATACAGCAGCTCTGACTCCACTTGAAAGGCCATTTACTCTACAGAGTGAGTCCTAAGACAGCCATAGTGACACAGAGAAACCCTGTCTTGAAAAACCAACCAACCAATCATCATCATCAACAAAATGACAAACAAACACACACAAAAAAAGACCACTTGCTTTCCTGTCCCTGAAGAGCAGTGACAGGCTGGGGAGGAATACCCACAGCAGTACTTTTTTCCACCCTCCTCCAGCAAGCCCTAGATGTTATATAAATAAATAGGTTCAGGCAGTCTGCAGTTATGGAAGCATGTGTTGCTGATAAAACAAAACCTCTGAGTCAGAGAGGGGAAAAGTCTCAAAACCTTACTGGATACAAACAAGGCTCCTAACTTTCTTCCCTTTTGACGATGAGCAACTGCAGACTTGGTGAATGTAACTTGTGCCTGATATTGGCAATGATTCCAAGATTCTCAACTTCTTAAGACTGATTAGACATTAAGCTTAGGGACTCTGGAATAAGACTGGAAGAGGGTTCAATAAAAACTAGAAAGTATGCTTGCAGGAAAGTTCATGGGAAGATATATGGTAGTGTGGAAAATGCCCAAGATTTGTTACCAAACAAACTTCTCCATATTTTGGTTGTGGAATTTACCATTTATGCATAAAGGTTTTTTATTTGTTGGTTGTTTTTTGTTTTTGTTTCTTGTTTTGAGACAAGGTTCCTCTATGTAGCTCTGTCTGGCCTGAAACCTTCAGTGTGGATAAGGATGGTCTGGAACCCACAGAGCTCTGCCTGCCTCTGCCTCCCTAGTGCTGGGATTAAAGGCGTGCACCAACACCAGTTCAGGCTGTGCATAAATTCTTTAAGTGCTTAGTATAGTGCCTAGGATTTAACATATGTTTTTCACCTACTACTTTCCTTTTAACACATATATAGAAACATGGCCACTCTGGGCTACACTGATAACTGCAGGTAAAAGGTAGCTTTGGGGTATCATTGATGACTGCTATTAAAAATGTGTACTTTCACCAGCCAGGTCTACAAAGTGAGTTCCAGGACTGCTAGGGCTGTTACACAGAGAAACTCTGTCTTGAAAAACAAATGTGTACTTCCCACTTAATAATAATCTGTTTGAAGAGAATGTTGAACTAAAATGTTGAACTCTTGACTAGACCAATGCAATAACTGATTATCTGAATTGAAATGTTGTCCAGTAAATGGCAGGATTTGAAACTGAATTTGAGCATGTGGGTTTCTTGTTCTGTTCCAAGCACATGAAAGGAATCGTCTGTGTGTACTCTGTTATCTCATTGCCTTGTGAAGAGTCCAAAATTGACACAGCTGTTACTAGAAGTTTTACCACCCTCCTTTTAAATAATGGGTCATGGAAAATGTCCTTAACTGAGTGGTGGCATAAGAGTCTGTATTTTGTGTTCCTTCTAGATCACTAACTGGCCATCCACTGCATGAAAGTTACTCCATCCCTAGTGGCTAGTATCTACATTGTAAATCTATTTTAGGAGGTTTTTTTCCCCCCTCCTAATTCATAGCCTCAACACTTCAGCTCTAGGGGAGAAAACTGTCTTGTTATAAATGTTTAATGAAACCAAAGCTTGAGATGTCAGTAAAGATGATGAGAAGAAATGAAGGATACATTTCCAGTCACCCAGTTAGTGGCAGTTCTTCATCTGTGGCTGGAGAAACTGAGGCACTGAGGGGTTGGAAACACGAGACGACTTCACAGAGAAGATTCCAATAAGCTGCTGGGTTTGCTGAAATTATTTTTATGAGCTACTCTGCAGTTATCCAAGTTCTTCTAAGAGGCCTGCCATTTTAAGTTGTGCCTCAAAATTGCTTCTAGGGATTGCAGTTCTTTTAAAAACTTAGCCATGTTTATTAGAAAAGTGATCAAATGTCTGTGGTCTCACTGTAGTGGCATCTAAATTAATCACATTACTTTTACCTGTGCACATGCTTTCTGTTCATATGATCATTTAGGGGGCCCACTTCCAGTTTGCCTTCTACAAAATGTGTTCCTGTTTACAGTTTGATCTGCTTTTATAATCTGTTGTTGATGCCTCTATAGTGACAACTTGCTTACAGTAAACAACCAAAGAAACTCAGAAAACTATTTCTCTGACCAAGGCAGAAGAGTAATTAATTTTCCATACTACTGGTAGAGCAGAGAGAGAAGAAAGAAAAGGAACAAATAAGCAATAAATATGTCCTTGGCTTGCCTGCATAGGGAGGGAAATGCCTTTCCCAACTTGACACTCTAGTTCTTTAGCCCCGAGGCAAAAAATCTGATTAGGACTGATATCTCAACGTTAGTATTATAACTGCAAAATTAAGTACCAGAGATCGATCTAGTTACAGTACTTAATATGGTGTCCTTAGGAGTTCGCGTTGATTGCATATTTCTAAAGAATGCAAGATATTTATCTTAAGCATGTACTTTCATTTCTTTAGCTTCTCCTGTTTTGAAAAAGAAAAAACGGCAACCCAACTCCAAGACCAGTTATAAATAGCAAAAAGGACAAAATGACAAAGACCATATTCCTACCAAATGTTCCTTGTGCTGTAGTCTGCTTATACTTTCTCTGTTCATTGATTATGATCTGTGGAGAATTTTGCAGATTTGCCACATTCATTATGTCCACAATGGAATTCTCAGGCTGCCTTAGCTTTAGTTTTCCAGCCTCGGCTCCATTTTTTTCAAAACAAATTAAAATTTACTTTTCATATTAAATTTAGGATCAACCATCCTGAAAGAGCTAATCCAGGCTCTTCCCACAGGACCAAAGACAAAACTCTTGCCTGCTTTGCAGTGGCTGCCTGTCTTCCCTCTCTATATTGTGTGTAGCTCCCTGGAAGTCCAAACAGGCTGTGTCTGCTCTGCCAGGTAGCCCTCCGAAAGTCCTGAAAATGACCCAGAGGGTTTCATTTCCTTCCAGACGAATTAGCACTCAATTTTATTCAATAATGTTAAAGCAGGTGCTTCATCTTCCCTTTGCACTGAAAGAATGCCCAACTGCTTTAACCATCAGGGAGCTCTCCCAGCTTTAATCTCACTTATTCTCTGAATATATGAGAAACGTGGGGTCGGTGCTGTAAAATAAGCCAAGAAAGACTGTAACTGTGAAAGTTCCTTTTGATTATTTCAATAACTACTGAATCGTGGGGGGACTGCATGGGTTCTAAGGCTCCCCATTACTTGTCACAAATTTAATTTAAACTGGCCTCTGAAAAAGTAGATTTTTTTTTTTTTGTAGCTCAAACTCAAGGCTAAAATCTGAAGCTACTCTTATTTATTTGATTAGTTATTTCTCCCGAAAGTATTCAGGCTGACCAACATGTTTACCCCTCAGCCCAGTCAGTTTCAGCTTCCAAATAGAGAGTATTTAACATCGATACCTGGTTCTGACTTTCTTTAGACTGGACAGTATTTTTCTTTGGCTAAAATGTGATTAACGTGCCAGCCATAAATATAGCTCCCGGTCCTCACATAATTTCAGGCTTTGTCATAAATGGCCCTGAACCTGAGGGCCAGGTCAGCCCATAGAATTAGTTTTGTATGCCTCTCCAGATGACAGGGAACACTTTATTAGTAGCTCCATGTGAATCAGTAGTGTCACATGCTCACTTCTAACCAAAACATTTAGAAAGTATGTACATGGTTACTAATGGCCTAGCCCCGATTCCTCAGTTCCATGAAGTGGACATCCTGTAAATTACAACTACTCACATTGTCATTTACTGTCCCGTAAACTATAAGGCAGAGAGGTTAGAAGCCTCAGCAGAAAATGGTTCTTCTCTTCCAACTCTCACTTTATTTTGAGTTGACATTGCAGACAGTAAAATATATTTATGTGGCTCAAGTGTGACTTAACTCTGTAAATTACATTAGATTCTGGGATGGCTTAAAGGCCCTTCTGGCCAGTCATATTTACTTCTGTTTATACAAATTGGCAAGGAGCTACTGTATGCTGGCTCCCTGCCACCACTAAGTTTCTTCCATTTACAGTCACTTTTGTAAGAGATAAAAATATTTTTAGCCGGGCATTGGTGGCGCACACCTTTAATCCCAGCACCCGGGAGGCAGAGGCAGGTGGATCTCTGTGAGTTCGAGGCCAGCCTGGTCTCCAGAGCAAGTGCCAAGATAGGCTCCAAAACTACACAGAGAAACCCTGTCTCAAAAAACCAAAAAAAAAAGAGATAAAAATATTTTTATATCAAAGATCCCTAGCAGTATTAATATCAGAAAGAGAAGAATAATAGCCCATTAAATTTATTTCCACTTGCTCCCAATGAACATAGGTAGTGATTTCTTTTTATATAGGTGCTTTAGAATTTCCAGGAACACAGTATTTTGAGAGATAGAACTTGGAACAAGATAAATTCTAGATGAACAATGGTGCTCTCCCACCCACCGGTTTCTCCCACCATTCTACCGAGAACAGGTAAAAGCGGAGAACTTAAGAGGCATTTGCACCTCTCCATTTATATTTTAAGCGTTACTAAAGACAACCTTAAAGAGTGTGTTGCCTCAAAGATGAAGTGCACCAAAACACCAGTGGACACTCCGCAAAAGTCCAAATTAGAGGAGACTGTAATACTACAGTGGTGGGGACTGGAGTCTGGTGACCTAAGGGGAACCGTCACCACAAAAGAGAAATTGGACCTCTCCTGGTCACTGAGAATTAAAATGCAGCACCCAATGCACACCAACTTGTTCATACTTCCCGACTCCACCATGCTTTCTTGGCTTGCAAAATAAGGAACTTGAATTTAGACATTACCCTGTTTAAGTGTCTTCTCAGGCATGACATGGTTTTGTGTGTGTGTGTGTGTGTGTGTGTGTGTGTGTGTGTGTGTGTGTGTGTGTGTGTAGGGGGGTAGATGGGTGGTGGGCGGCTGAGGGAGGGGGTGGGGAGCAGCTTGAATGTGTCTGCAAGATTATTCTAAGCAAGTCACTCTTTCTCTTCCGTGAAGTGACTCCCGAGTCAGGCTTTAAAATAAAAACATCTCATCTATTCTAGCTTTAAAATACTGTATAATTTAGGAAAAACAAAAAGGCTTATAGAAATCAAAACACTCAAACCCTCACTCTCTTAAGAGCTAAATTCAACAGGGCTTATCACTGCTGGTTTGCAGGCTCTGGGGGCCACAGAGTGGAGCCCTAGAGTAAGTAACCTTATAGTGAGTTGTCCCCATCCGCCATCAGTGAAGGTTCTGGGAAGACACAAAGCAAAACATCAGGCTGTAAGGGGAGCCCAAGGGGGCTGCCCAGGGAACCTCAGAACCCATGCTTTCGGGGAAAAAAAAACCCTCGGGGGACCAAGGGGAAAATCACCTGTCAAGTCTCCTTAGGGTCAGGACTTAGGAAAGCCTGGGTCTGCTCAGAGCAGCCTTGAGCAGGTCCCAGTCCAGACCTGGAGGAAACTGTAACCGCCAAGGAATCAGGGAGAGAGCAGGGAGTGAGGGGAGAGAGGAGGATGCGAGAAAAGAACTAAGTGGACCCCAGACACTCACCACGAGCGGAATGGAGCAGATGAGCACCACGAGGGAGGTGGCGATGAGTAAGATGACCATCTGGATCCATGCCTGCATGCGTGCGTGCGGGCGTGCGTGCGGGGGGGGGGGCGGGGGTGGGGGGCGCCCGCGGGGGCCCCCGAGGGCCGCCCCCAGCCGCTGCTGCCGCGGCAGCCGCGTGGTGCTGCTCGGTGCCCAGCGAGGGGCGGCGCATGAACTGGCGGTGCATGCGGAGCAGCGCGCCGCACACCAGCACATTGCAGAGCACGGTGGCGAGGATGAGGAAGGAGCTGAAGCCCGCGTACATGTAAGAGAAGGCGGCATAGGCTGTTACGTTGGTGGTCCAGTCGATGAAGCACCAGGTGCCGGGGTACTGTCGCTCAGACCTGCCCAGGCCCATGTTGGGCAGTGCGCAGAATAGCACGTTAGATGCATAGACCGCGAAGAGTGTGAGGCCGGCCAGCCGCTTGTCCACGTAGTGGCTGTAGAAGTAGGCGTGGTTGATGGCCAGGTAGCGCTCAATGCTCATGGCACAGATGATGCTGAGACCCGACAGGCCAAAGAAGAGTAGGATGAAGGTGCTGTAGTCACACAGTGCCTGGTCCCCGGGCCATTGGCCCTTCATGTATGTGGCGATGGTCACTGGGCTTACCAGCAGCGTGCCTAGTAGGTCAGTGACAGCCAGCCCACATACTAGAGTGTAGAAGGTCGTCTCCTTCTGCTCCTTGCGCGACTTGCACAGCACTACGATGGCCACCAGGTTGCCCACGACCCCAAAGATGAACATCACTGCCGGAATGGTCACTGGGCTGTTCAGCCTCTCCGAAGTGGAGGAGAAGGATGCATTGATCCCGGGAATGGACATGATGGTGGTCAGTAGTACACAGCTTTGGGGCTCACGGTTCGATCTAGGGATGGTGAGAGAGGAAAGGGAGAGGTGAACCATTTACAAATTGCAAGGTGTTAGACCCATGACCCAAAATGCTATGGGGGTGAGACAGGGAGAGCAACCGGATCCGACTTCCTGATCTGTAGCCACTCACTAACCGTGGCTACTCAAATCCCCAAGCTCTGAATGCGTCCTGCCAAGAGCACCACTCTGCTGACATTAATATTTATAAACTGATAACTGCGGTTCCCGCCTACCCCTCCCCCCACACTCATTCCATCGCCAAGATGAGCAAGACCCTTCTCAAGGGAAAAGTGACTCGCTAGTGATATTCCCGACAGAGTCGATAAAATTCTCATTGAAACAAGTTATGGACGATTTGGGAAGCACATTCTGTTCTTTGATTCCCCGAAAGAGCCTGGCCACTGAGCGGTCCGCGCAAAGACCTCCATCCCAACTTACCTGTAGGGTGGGGTTAGGAGCTCGGTGCGCCCCTAGGCTCAGGCCTCAGACGATTTGGACCTGCCTCTAACCTCAGCCATCAGTCTCTTCCCGCTCAGTGAGGAACTTGTCAAGCCTTTGCCCCCCTCGGAACCGGCTCTCGGTGGCTGCCAACTTTCCGGAACTGAGGTCAGAGGATCGAGCTTGCAAAAAGCTTAGAAAGCAAGCGAGGCTCAAGGGAAGATGAGTCTCGGGTGTCTTGTTTGATTTACCCTCTCCTTCTTTCAAAGGCGAGTCTCAGCTTCGCAGAGTCCGCACGTCTGGTGCGGGAGGTCAGCGTCCAGGTGTGCCGCCACGCGCGCAGGTGGAGCGGAGCGTAGGTCCGGGCTCCCTCCTCCCTAGACGCGGGCTGAACGGACAGCTACCGGAGAAGGCGGCTGCCGCTGAGGCCGCTCCTTGTGCTCTGGGGTAGACTCGGGGTCCCCTGGGCCTGGGGCTCTGACCTGGGGCTGTGCATCTTCCTCTCCCGCTGCCGGGTTTCGAGCTTCGCTCTTGCCCTTCCAGACTCTGTACAAACTTTTCTCCTCCCGCAAGTTTCCCTGGCGGGGGCGGAGACAGACAGCGCGCGGCCCGGGCGCCCATTGGCTGACCTGGAAAGGGGGCGGGGCGAGTCTTCTTATGGCACCACCCGGGAACCTGGTGATAGGGGGAGGAGCGGAGAGCCTGGGGAGGTCTGGAGGGACCTGAGGGGGTGCTACCGGGCTGCGGGGACGGCTCCAGTGCTTTCCGTCCTTCAGATATACCGAGAGCGCCCTGGAGCCCCAGGGAAGTCCCTGATCGCGCTTTGCTACTCCTGAGCCGGGCATTTAGTGGGGATGATGCTGGGACCAGCGTCTAGTCTACCTCGCTCTGCGGGATGGAGGGGATTAATTCTCTCACCTTCCACCCTCGGACCTAGCATGTAGGTCTTGGGATGTCGGGACAATTGCTTTAGGATCCTAGCCGGGAGCGGCAGGGCGGAGAGGAGAAGTGGGTGTGTGGTTGTGCGTGGGTGTGTACGACCTAACGCTGAGGGTGGGACTTGGCAGACGCATGGGCGGACGGATGGGTAGGTACCAGGCTTGGGCGGGGAGACGACGAAGAATCCATCCTCTCACCATAAAAGGAGTTACTTGGCAGTGCCCTAACTGCCCTCAATAGGGCACCAAAGCGGGGGCGGAGAGGAAGGCAACAGACACAGAACTGCAACTCTCCTGGCTTGGGTGGCAGAGCCTTGGGGCTTTGCAGAGACCACAGATGGCCACAGGTACACCTGAGACTTAGTTGAGGGGGACTGTTTACTGGGAAGAGCATTCTTTTTCAGGAGGACTTCTGAGCTCTGAAGTGTAGACTGAGCAGCTTCCGCCTTCCTGTTAGATTTCTGGTAGAAGACTTCACCTGCAGGCTAAGAAGGGGATTTGGAAGTCAAGCAAATAAACAGATTTTCCAGGTGTTACCTCTTCTTTTTTTTTTTTTTCAACTTGGAAAAGGCCTATTTGCGTTTCCTTATTCTTTGGTTTATAGTTTGTTTGGTTTATTTGAGGAGGAACAATCATTTCTTAATTATCGACTTTCACCTAAAAAACAGAATTTAAGTTTGGAAAACACAGGGCCAATTAAAACCGCTTCACCAAACCCTTTAAAGACTACACAATGAGATGGTAGAATGGCGTTCCAAGCAATTCAAATTCTTAGAAAAGCCTCTGTCTGGCTGAAGCATGCATATACAGTATACAGTAACTGAGTGGATTGGATCTTACATAAGTGCACACTCTTTAAGTATTACTTCATGAATTAAAAAAATCTGCTAAGAATTTATCTGGTTCTTCAAGCTAGTCTCAGTAACAAATGAGAAATAAGAACTGAAGAGCATACCCGATTTTAGCTAGCTTAAGCCTATAAAAGTGCCCAGAATTGTGCTTATTTGCATAAGGAAGCATGTGGGCATAGCAATAAGGCATTATTCTGTGTGTAAACTTTTTCATCACGAACACCACAAGGGACAACGTTCTTAACTGGTAGAAAAATCGGTGGTAATTGTTCATTTTTTTCTCAGTCTATTACCACTATAGTCATTTCTGTTGTCTGTGAGTCCTTCTGATAGTAATCTCTAGAATGATGTCAGCACAGGACACAAATCAACACCAGAAAAATAACAAGACAGAAACCCTAGCCTGCACCCCCATTCCTCACTAACCACATTGCATGATTGTTGCTCATGTTAGCTGGTGGTCAGAAAACCCACGAAGAGAAGAGAGTATGTTTCTCATAGCCTGTTAATTTACTTTTTTCTGAAGCTCCTGAAAAGAAAAAGTTAAGATTAGTGTAGTGCAGGCTATAGTAGATAGTTTCAATTCACACAGATGGTGTTGGCTAAACTAGGTAGTTCACAGAGCAAGCCCAAGCTCACAAACCGTGGACAGGGATTGGTTGGGAGGGGGACAGACACAGAGATGAGAGGTAAGAGGTGTTTGAGTGTTTTGCCTGTATGCATGCTTGTGCACCACTTGTGTGCTTGCTGCCTGTGGAGCCCAGAAGGGCTCGTTGGGTCCCTTGGACCTGGTGCTACAGAAAAAAAAGCTGCGAGCTGCATTGTGGATGCTGGGGATCAAAGCCAGGTCCTCTGCAAGAGCAGGGAGCACTTTTGACCATGGAGCCATCTCCCCAGCCCAGGTCACCGTTCTTAGAACTTACACTTCAGAGGTAAAAATTGAGTTTGGTCTTCAGCTATACTACTCCCAACACATTTGCTTAGGAAGCTAAGCAGGGTCAGGTCAGGTTAATACTTGGAAAAGGAGAAGTTAAAAGTTTGGGAAACATTTTATTTTCTTGGTTTGGGAAACTGGGACAGCAGAGTCCAGTTTCCCTCACATTCTGCCAGGAATCCACATTGCGAAGGGGGAGACTTGCCATAATCACGTGGGTAATTCTTGTTATTGTTTGTATATTTCAGAGAAGAGCCTTTTACTCTTTGCTCTCTGTTCTCCCTTGCAGTTTCTGTCTCATACCTACCTCTCTGCATTGAAGGTGCAGTTCTTTGGAACTGTCATTAAATCCTCCCTGGAGGTTTGAATTAGTTCAAGAACTGATTGTGTGATTGTCCTGGTTAATTGTTTCAAGTAAATAACTTAAAGTGAGAAGCCATTTAAAACCACAGGCTGCGGTAGGCTGCCACCCAAATGCACTTCTACTAGCTGGTTCTACTAACAGGTTTGGATTGTCCCTGAATGAAAGTGACTGTGGGACAAACCAGATTCAGCCATCAGGATTGGGGAAAGGAAGAAATGACTTCTGGGCACAAAGGTGAATCAGGTCAGGTCCAACCTCTTTTAAAATTTATTTTATTATTATTGTTATTTTTCCAACATAACGTTTTTATTGATTCTCTGGGAATTTCACATCATGAACAAACAATTGTACTCACTTCCCAGTCCTTCTGTGTCTACCCCCAACCTTGTGACCACCCCAAAAAGTAAAAATAAAAAGAAGAATAAAAGAGAGAAAAATATATATTAAAAAACAACAGAAAAACAAGTTCAATTTGTGTTATCTCTATATTCACAGGAGCATGGTTATTTTATTTTATTTATTTGTGTGTGTCTGTGTGTCTGTGTGAGGGTGTGTGCATATGTGGTTAGAGGCTCTAGATAATCTCTGAAATTGGAGTTGTAGGTGATTATGAGTCACCGACCTGGGGGCTAGGAACCGAACTCTGATCTGCTGGAAGAGAAGCAGGAGCTCTCTCGTCCCAACCCTTTAATGAGTTCTCAGTACATTCCTCAGGTACTAGCATTCACGTAGTTAAAAATAAAAGGAGGCCTCACCGATTGAGTTTGTTTTTGTCTGTCTTTCATGACTCAAAACACAAAGGTGTCTGTCTCATTCAGCAACACAGTATCGTTAGACACAGTTGTCTTCCATCTGGTTCAGTGGATTACAAAAATGACACTGATCGGATGCTGGGTATGGAAAGAGGCCCTTGGTTATGGTTGTGGCCCTAATGGTGCCTCCCTTTTTAGTGGTGCATTTCAAGTGTATACTCCTCTAATTAGCTTCATTTTGGATTGTCCCTGACATAAAGTATGAACTTTATGCTGAGTCTATTGCCTGGAGCTGTGGCACATGTCAGTGCTGTGACTGACTCCCCCATTATCCTTATGTGTCAACAAAGCATCGCTGTGGAGGCTGCTCACCACAAGTGTTTGCTTCAGGCTGCCTTCTGCTCCAGCAGTTGCACCTCTCAAAGCAATGGCTTTCTCTTTGTTCACTCTTCCCCTGTCTTTCCTTCAAATAGGTCTTTCACACCTCTATTGTGGTTTAGAGCCAATGGCAAAGAAAAGAGATGACTTATCTCCGTTGCTGCCTGTATTTGAAGGTCCAGGTGAAATGATAACACATTTTTTAATTCAGAGTCTCTTCTAGAGGACGGAGGACCTTGTCATTAAGTTTCAGTCTTATTATTTTTTTTTTAACTTTTCTACTCACCCAAATCTCTGTTTTGTAATACTGTAAAAGATACACAGCAGTGTGGACTTAACCTTTCTCCACTTCTGGAGAGTGACCAAGTTAAAAAGCAAGAGGCTGCATGTTCTGGGAGACTCTTGGACAGCCTTGGCTAACAACTCCAAAGGGGTCTTCTCACGTCTTGTATTTGAATTGTTATGAGGATTTTGACTCTTGGAGAGAATACCATCAGCCCAGATGAGAAAAGTTCAATAAAATCATATATCTATGCACGGAATCATGTGCACACACATGAGATGAACATGGATGACATCACAGACAGGCTAACTGGATGGGGAAAAGCTCACAAACCCTCAACCCTACCCAACCATAAGCAACTGAAAAGGGCTGGGAGAGGGAGGGGTGGTCTTCATCTGGGAAAGACACATTTGGTAGGCCAGTGCCAAACACACATACGAGTAACACTATGTGGACTGAACAG